GGGGGGGGGGGGCTGGGCCTGCTCGGTGAAAAGGCTGACCTGCTGTGAAAGAAAGGATCACTTCTGCACAAATGATGATTAGGAAACAAGTTTTGAAGAAATAGGAAGGCTCGTCATGTCATTCCTAAGATTCATGCCACAGCCAAATGCAGAATTTTGATTCAGTCCCTTTTAAGAGCCTCTTTTGGAAGCAAGGCATAGAGGTTCCTGAGCTGCAGGGGGCTGGCCCTCCTTTCCCCCNCCCCCCGTGATGAACGTTGACTTCCACGGGATCCTCTGGAAACCGTTTTTCGTAGAGAAAGTGGGAGGGGTAGCCTACACTCAAGGCGGTGGGGCTCTGCGTGCGAGATGGGTCCCACGTGTCTGCTCTGGGGTTTTTAATGAATGCTTTGCACAGGAAAACCTGTGGGGTTGTGGGGTGAGAATGGGAAGGGTGCGTGTGTGCAAGTTCTGAAATGAACGCTGCAGTTGCCCGAGAGATAGTTAAGCAACGAAGACCTTTGCATGCATTGTTCAGTCAAGATGGAGAGAAAGAGGTGGCCTCCATGTGTTGGTCAGTGCTTTCCCCCTTCACGCCTTGGCTCCACTGAAATGGCAGTGTGCAGTCTGAAAAGGACAGGACATCTCCTATCTTCACAACCCTGACCACCTTGTGTGGCTCTCCTTGGAGCGGACGCTTGAGGAAGGCAAAACGAACGGCTTGCTCGTCCGCTGGCTTCTCAGGCATTACTGTCCCTTTTTTTGCTGAAAGGGGTCCCGGTCCTCAACCCAGTGGGAGACTGGTCTGGACGCCGAGAAGGTGCCTTGGGGGCCGCACACTGCTTCTGGACCGCCATTGACCAGTTTTCCCACATAGGAAAGGTGGTGCCCGGGGAAAGACAAGACTGGTTTCCCCTCCTGTTGATGGGGGATGATCTTTTCAGGGGCTCATCTAAGGGCCTTGTGAACTCAGCCAATGGACAGCAATGTTCAAAAGGAAGTCAGTTAACGCAAGCCCGAAACCCACAAGTACTGGGAGGGCCTTCTGCATGTGGAAAAGCTACAACCCTTATGCTACACAAAGACATGATGAAGAGGGGTACCTTCAGCAGGCCCAATCCTTCCCTGCTCTTATATCCAGGGCACCTTTTTGCTGGAACTGGAAGGCCGTGAATCATCAATTCAGCTGCTTTAAAGACCCACTGAGTTCTCAAATTTCTATTTCTTGTTTTAAAAGCACCTCATACTCCATGAAGCCTTTTACGGTTGAAATCTATCTTGCTTTCAAGATGAGTTTGTCAGGGTGTGCCATCCGGTCAGGACCGACTGACAGGGAACAACCTAACCGGACTTTTTCAAGACAAGTGAGAGATTTAAGGGAGTGTTCTTACGAGTTTCATTCCCCCAGTAGGTTTCCATGGCTAAGCGGGGATTTGAACTCTGTTCTCCAGCGTCCTAGCCCATCACTCTGTCCACACCACCACTCGGGGAATCTCTCAAATCAGGGCCAAGGCTCCAAAACATGGCTTGAGGGGTAACCTGTGAAGATGGGTCGTTCCTGTGCTAGACAAATGGCCATTTATTAGCATGATCAGTGTTATTTTTGCTTCCTCTGCTTACCCGTCAAAAGGGGAGGGGAAGCTGTGTGGTCTTTTGTACACCATCTGGTGTGCGACCTGAGAATCCCTTCCTACCACTGGCTTATACTTCTAATTTGGCTGCAACTGACGTACCTACATTTTATCGCAACACGTGACAACAGGGCCGCCACCTTCCTGCGTTTGCCTGTTCCCCATCAAAAGGAAACTTGTGTGTTTTGATTAATCAGAATGGGGGACAAGGTTCGTGTGCCAAATCTGTGGCAGCAAGATCAGAATCTCCCTCCCAATCTGCAATCTGGGAAATGACATTTGAAAACCCTACTACCTGTGAACTAAACTGCAGCTCCATTTTGGGACCTGCTTGAAACAGAGCAATCTTAATCCTGATTTTTGCACATTTTTTCTTCTTCTGTACCTCTTCCACCTCTTGTCGTGCCCAGTTGGGCTCGGAATGAGAGGGCACAACCCCTCTGCTCCCAACTGAAGGAAGGCAAACTGCTGTGTTCAGCCAAGGTCACTCCCGAGCTTTGCCTTGAGACCAGGGCGTGGGAAACCTGGTGGTTCCCCAAGGTGGGAACAGGCTTCACAAGAAACTTCCATCCATCTGGACCAGCTCAAGTGTAATGGGACATGCAGTTCAGCAGCAACACCTTGTCCGCTATGCAACTCCCACCCCGTGTTGTTGATAAAGCCACTTGGATCACTTGCGTGAGTCATCTGAACCCCCCTGCCACAGAAGCTGGCTTCATACTGTACAGCTGCTTTCAGCTTGGGACAGGCTGATGCCTGCCAGGTACGGCTCGCTACCCAGGACACTAATACAGTGGTGCCTTGCTTGACAATGTTACAGTGGGGTCTCTACTTAAGAACGTCCCTACTTAAGAACAATCCAACTTAAGAACAACTCCATTTGCTAAATTTTGCTTCTACTTGAGAACAGAAATCCAAGATAAGAACAGGAAAAAAAACCTTTCCTGCTCTTTTTTTAACCCTAGGTCATCTTAGGTTAAAAAAAAATCTCCCCCTAGTGGTAGAGTACGTATTAACCCGCTTTGCATTAGTTCCTATGGGAACTAATGCTTCAATGTACGAACGCACCTCTACATAACAAAAAAACAGCCAGAACGGATTAATTGGTTTTCAGTCCATTCCTATGGGAAATTTTGCTTCAACTTAAGAACGCTTCAACTTAAGAACACCATTCCAAAACGGATTAAGTTCATAAGTAGAGGTTCCACTGTAGTTTCTATGGACGGAAAAGAGCAGATACGGATTAAAGGGTTTTCAATGCATTCCTATGGGAAATGCAGATTCAACATAAGAACTTTTCAACTTGAGAACCACCTTCCAATACGGATTAAGTTCTTAAGTAGAGACCCCACTATAATTCGTTCCAGTGAAATAGCTGCAGAGCGAAAACATCGTCAAACGAAATGAAGCCCATTGAAACGCATTAAAACTTGGTTAATGCATTCCAATGGGCTTAAAACTCATAGTCCAGTGAAGATCCTCCATAGGGGTGGCAATTTTCCATGCCTGTGCAGAGGACTCTGTTTCTAAGCACAGCGGGGGGACATTTTCTTCAGCCGATGGCCATTCTGAAACCTGATCAGCTGTCTTTGATCCTCGGAAAGCGAAAATCGGTTCCCAAAGCAGGGAGCCGATCATCGCTAAGCGAAATTCCCCCATTTAGACCATCGTTTTGTGATCACAATTATGATCGCAAAAACCTCGTTGTTAAGCGAGGCAATTGTTAAGCGGGGCAAGACTGTATTTCCTAATGGAGAAAGGCCAGAGGTGAACAACTAGTGCATGTACCTTGCAGTCCTGCTGTATGTGTTTGTATGAAGCGCTGGTACTCCTAGAGGAAATAAAGGTATTTGCAAGCTGCCCTCAACATCAGAGGCAGGCCTGTAGCCCAAGAACTACCTCTGTCTGTACTAAAACCCAGGGGAGGAGACCCCCCCCCCGGATCATGACCTGCCATGCCTTCTGCTTCTAGGTGCCGGCTCTCCTCCAGGACAGGCTGACCCTCCCCAGCCACCTTTGTGCACGGAGCACGGGGGAGACAAAGCGTCAGCGTGCCATTGGGGCATCTGTTCTCCCTAAAAAATGCAAAGGGGCCGAGACCCCAGAAGCGCAACCGTTCTCTGCAGCAGCAAGGCACTCGGAACAGGCGGAGGGCCAGAAAAGGCGCTCCGCCAATGCTTGATGAACCGGGGGGGGGGCTGCCTCCACACCACTTCCTGTACCCATCAGGCTGAATGGAAGCCGTGGACCCGAGTCTCGTCCAGCCGGCGCATGCAGCAACCCGCGAGACCAGGCGGACGAAGAGTGAATCACACCAGAGCAGGGAACTCGTTTCCAGAAGTTGGCTTTACTTGGCAGTACAGAAGTCATCTGGAGCCCCCTTCCCTCCCATAATCCCTCCCTCCTGCCAGACAGAAGCCCAGGCTCCGTCAAATCAATACTGCAGCGCAGCTTGGTCCCCCTGAGAAGCCGGACGAGGTACAGGAAAAGAAGAAAAGAGAGACTGGCACACACACACATAGGCCTGGCCTGCTTGGGAGCTTCGTTCTTTGCACCAAGTAGTATTTTTTTTATTAGTATCACTTGTAAAACACATATTCAGCCTTGCAGCACCGTTGTGTCCCAACAGATGTAAACGGCTTGAGAGAAACTTTTAGTCGGGAGAGGGAGATGATGGGAGGGGCAAGGTGGCGGGGGCAAGGGGAGAGAAAGAGAGAGAGATGAGCGCTGGGCAGAAACCCGGCCATGTAGCTAGCCATTAAGAGGCCCCCTTTCTCCCAGGCTGAGAGGCGTAGATGGCTGAAAGGCAAAACATAGCCAGGAAGCCCCCGTTGCTTTCACCACTAGAGACGGCTACAAGGCTTCAGCCAGGAGTGATCCAGATGTTACATACAGATGTTTCCATTAGGGGTAGTGTGGTGTGTTTTGGGGGGGCTAGGGGGAGAGCTTTTGTCCTTGAGTTAGCAATGGTTATCAAGTCAAGAGTGTCAGTATTTGCCAATTTTGACACAGCAACCTCGTTTAAAGAATAATTAACACATGATTATATCCAAAGAGGGGGGAAGAGCGTTTTGCCAGTGCGAGACTCTTTTCAATCTCAAGAGACAGGATTACCCAAAAAAAAAAAAAAAAGCAGGCCTTACAATTTGGAACCTCGCACGGTGCTTGCTGATGCTCCTCTGTGCAGACGCACCGACAAGAGCCCGCGGAGTCGCTAAGTGTAAGAGACTCGAAAGTACTGCCTACTGCTGGTCCTCCTCCCCGTAGATGTCGTTCTTCTTCCGCTTCATCTCTTCGAAGTCGAACTCTGAGCCCATCATCCTCTTGTAAATGTCTTTGATGTCGTCACACGTCGTCTCAAAGTGGGTGGTGGCGTCGTAGGTACGAGAAATAAAAATCTGGAAGAACGAAGAACAATCTGTTGTCCTCCGAGAAGCTCTCCCTCATTGTTCCACAAACAAACACACACACACACACAAACAAACACACAGGTAAAGGTTCCCCTTGACAATTTTTGTCCAGTCGTATTCGACTCTGGGGGGCGGTGCTCATTCCCGTTTTCAAGCCATAGAGCCAGCGTTTTGTCCGAAGACAATCTTCCGTGGTCACATGGCTAATGCGACTTAGACACGGAACGCTGTTACCTTCCCACCGAGGTGGTTACCTATTTATCTACTTGCATTTGCATGCTTTCGAACCGCTAGTTTGGCAGGAGCTTGGGCAAGCGACGGGAGCTCACTCCATTGCGTGGATTCGATCTTACGACTGCTGGTCTTCTGCCCCTGCAGCACAGGTTTCTGCGGTTTAGCCCGCAGCACCACCACGTCCCTTAAATAAACACACACAGTACTTCCCAATTCGTACAAACCTGGCTCTCTGTGCCCAGGTCGGTTGGTGCAAACAGGTCACTGACACTAACAAACCTACAAAAAAGAGAGCGAGAGCAAGAGAAGAGACTCATTCAGGAAGGATCCAGAACTCATGGTGACAGACAAACTCACATGAAATGATCCGCAGTAGAGGGAGAGGATTTTAATCACTGCTCTCCCATGAAGAAAACACACCAACGCCACCCCCTGGCCTTGCAAAAGGACGCCGGGTCTGTAGCTAAGCACCTGCTGTACATGACCCGAGAGGGACCCCATGGCAGGGCTGGGTGGAGACCGAACGGCAGTCCGTCACCACAGAAGGTGTGCTAGACGGACCGACTGCAGGGGAAGGCCAGCCCAGGCGTGTCCCCTGCTTCACACATAACCCCTTGGGAGGCGATCTATTCCCCCAGAGCAAAAAAAGCATCTCTCTACATTTTATTTACTTACTTTTTTTATTTACAGTGGTGCCTCGCTTAACGGGCGCCCCATTTAACAAAGAAATCGCATAGTGATGAAGATTTTGCGATCACAAAAGTGATCGCATTGTGATGTTTTAAATGGGCAAAAATCGCTTTGCGATGATCGGTAGGTACCGTTTCGCTTACCGATCATTGCAAAGCGATTTTTTAACAGCTGATCGGCGGTTCCAAAATGGCCGCCAGGGAAAAAAAATGGGCGCCCACTGTTTTCTGGGACGGATTCCTCGCTTACTGGGCAGGGCAAATGGCCGCCGTATGGAGGATTTTCGCTTTAAGGTGAGTCTGAAGCCCATAGGAACGCATTGAAGGGGTTACAGTGCATTCCTATGGGCTTTTTAAAATCGCATAGCGACGAAATCGCTTTGCAGCGATTTCTGCTGCACTGATTATCGTTGCTATGCGAGGCACCACTGTATTTGAATACTACCTAACTGGCTGAAAAAACACAGAAAGTGAGCCATAAAATAACACATTTTATAATAAAAAGAAATCGGTCAAAAGGGGTCCCAAAATATTAGCATGTTATGAGTGAGCTATAACCATCCAATGGAGGGGGGTAGGGGAGATGAAAATCAAGGCCTGATTGCCTCTGAGGTGGGAAAGATCTTAGCCTGCTTTCAAGGTGGCCTTCAGAAGGATACTGAGTGGACCCCCATCCCTGGGGGGGGGGGAATTGACACAGGGCTGACACGCTCCTTCTCAGGTAGCCATGACCTGCAGCACCCTGTGGGTGGTGTCCCCCCTCCCCCAGACAACCCTCCAAAAAAAGATCCCGAGGGTTGGTAAGGGACCTGTGGCCACAGGAAATCCTTCAGATGGAGCAGCCCTAAGTATTTTAAGGGCTGGATAGAGGTGAGCACAGTCCTCTGAACTGGGTCTGGAAACTGAGTGGCAGCCAGGGATGCACAAAACCATCAGCTGTGTCTATCTACAAAGTGGGAACCACTCATTCCGACTGAAAGCTAGATCGTGCTTGCGATGTCCAGAGCTTTTAGTTGCCTTGGGCCCCCTCTTTCTGGGGGAAAAGGTGGCATGTAAATAAAACAGAGGTATACCTTTCAGGTTAAACTCCACCTCCTAGGCATTAAGTGTTTGCAAAGGAGGTAATCAGAGAGGGCACAAACCGTTCAGCGACCTTCAGAAGGTACAGAGAGGATGAAGGACTGGCCATCGTTTTGGGGGGGGGCTGCTTTGCCCCGCCACTCCTGCCAACCCAGCCCAGCCAGGTCAGAGAGGAAGGGAGCTGGACGTGCCGACATCGGAGGAGCTGTTCAACATACAAGAGCTCCCACCATGGTGCTGGGTGGGGCTCTCCCAAATGGAGACCTCCCTTCTCTAGTGCACCCCCGCCTTTGCCCCTCATGGGCGGGCTGGGAGCAGACAAAACAAGACGGCCATGGCAGGATTCCTAGAGAGGGCCTTACTTTTGCTCAATGGGCTCAAGGAGCTCCAAGGCAGGCTTAATCTCCTTCTCCGGGTCGCTCGTCTCCACAGTAGTGCTCACAATGGCGATGTACTTCCCTTGGGCGGCCACGTTGTGCGCAGATGAAATCATGCAGACGTAGATGTCTAGAAGACAAAAAGTAGCAAAGCGTGAGCAGCTCCTGCCAAAGGCCCTTCCCTTCCTGCTCACAGACTGGACTCAAGCCTGGAGGGAAAAAGCAGAGGGGACAGGCAGCTTAAGTTCCCGGTAGAGGGATAGGGTTAGAATGTCCTGCATGGGCCCAATGCAAGAACAGTAAAGAAGCGAGCCGTGATTGCTCTGAGCACCCGCAAAAGCCCTGCACCCGGGCCGTGTCGGGCCCATAAACAACTCTCCTCGCAGCTCCAAATCTCCATGGTTCCAACTCCCTGTGATCATTAAGAGATTTCATCCAGAAAAATTGGAAACTTTATAACACGTTGCAGCCCAGGAGTTCGCTCTGAGGCAACAACGGCTAACTCTGTTACTCCCAATTAGAACGAGTCCCACTGAATCCAGGGGACTTCAATTAGGGTTGACTTCCCAAACCCCATTCATTCAATGGTCATGCTCTGGCTGGAACAAACAACTGGATTGAGCCCCTAGAAATGACTGTTATCTTTCAAAGGAGGTGGTATATGGCTTGGATGCCCCCTGAAAAATCAAGGGTATCAGGTTGCCCAGGACCTGCGCAGAAGAACAGGCTTGGGAGACCCAGGCAGGAAGGAGACCATGTCCTTCAACCATTTCTGCAAAACAGACTGACTTATTGTTTACGAAGAGATGCTGCAAACTAATTAAGAGTCAAGGAGGTGGACCTTGGTGAAAGAATGGGCAAAACACAGTCTCCGGAAAGGTCACTAAATCCCTGCAGCAAGCTAACTTTTCTCACCCTCTCTCTCAAATGTCAGCATTTGAAATGCTTTCCAAGTCAGCGGATAACTAGATGGCAACCTTCATCCACCACCCAATGTTACAAGGCAAAAATACAAACACACACGCACACTATCGGCATGGTCTTGGGTTGCTCATTTCTAACACGGATGCCAGTGACAGTCCCGTCAAGGACAGGCTGCCGAGGCTCCGCGCGCCGAGGAGATGAAGCGTCTTGGCCTCCCAACTCACCCGATTTCCGGTTAACCTGGTTCTGGGGGATGATGATCTGGCACGAATTGGCATCGTTGGTGTTCTTGATCGGGTGGCTCAGGATGCAGATGACCCGGATCACCCTGCCTGCCTTCTTGACTCTGTCCGGGACGTAGCTTGGGTCGCAGATGAGCTGCTTGCAGCGGGCAACCTTGGGGGGGGGGCAAAGAGGTGCCGCTTTTTAAAGCTCACAAATGAGTGCGGGAGGCTCCGAAGAAGGGAGAGGATACTGGCAACAGTACAGGGAATATGTGGCTTGGGTAGCCAACTCTTCCTCTCCGGTAATCATCCAGGCTGCGCCTCTCACAGCCACCCACCATGCAGTGATGCTCCTAACCTATTCCCACCACCAGTGTGGCTGCTGTGCTGCTGCAGGGCACACAGAGACACTACTGGCAGGAAGGAAAATAGGAAATCTCAACACACACCCCTCCTCCATGGTTGCTTACAGGTGCAAGGAATGCTCTCCACCAACACCCCCCACCTTCCCAACTAGCCAAATGAGGCCTGGCCAACGGCAAAGCCAGGAGGACATCCACAGTCTGCAAGAAAACATCAAGGAAAGCAGACTCCCAACGCGTCAAGGGCGGGCTCCCCCTTTTAAGTTTCACAGATACATCAAGGAGATCAGCAGCTTCAACCCAGAGACTCAGTATATCCAGGAGGTGGCAAAGAGGTAGAGAAAAGCACGAGCAGGGGAGGGCAGAACTGAGTAAAAGTACAGCCCCCCCACCCACCAAATGACAGGCAGAATGGGAGGCAGCCCAGAGAATCCATGGGATGATCAAGTTGGAAGGGCCTATAAGGCCATCGAGCCCCAAATTGGGCTCAATGCGTATGTATACCTAAGTGCCCCTTCCATCGGATGTGTGGTTTGAGGCCACTTAAATAAGCGTTTCTCATAACTGTGGTCCTCTGGACTCCCAAGTCCCATTGTGCCCAACCCGCTTGGCCAATGGTCAAAGAGGGGACGGCCAAGACATCTGGAGGGCCAACGGTGGGGAACCACTGACTTAAACCTCAGCCTGTCTTTGCAGATCAGCTCTCTGGACCCATGCCAGAGAAGTGACTGTATTAATCTGATCTAGGGCAGAGAAAAGGCAATGCCAATGGGCTTTTCTATCTAACAAGGAACCCTGTGATACCTGAAAACTTAGAGACTCACAGAAGCAGACTTTTTGGGTGGGTCAAAGCTCAATTTTTGTGTCCCGAGGGGCTTCAGACAAGGGTAAGAGGGCAACCTCTCGAGGCATTCAGAAGAAAGCTACTCGGGTGTCTCTCAAAAGTCCCCAGGGGGTTACGATGCCAGGAACTAAAGCCAAAGGTTATGAATTGTTCAGCACAAGTGCCAAAAATATCTGAGGTTCATCTGCCCCGTGGCCTTCAGATCTTTACTTATAGGAAGGCAGAGCCCGAGAAAACCAAGAGCAAAAACAACCCTACCTCCCCTTCGGATTTCACTCCGACCACCTTGCCATTTTCTACGACAATCTCTTCAATCGGTTTGTTCAGCATGTAGGTACCTCCGTAGATAGCACTTAACCTGTCAACAAAGGACATGCACCCAGACAGTTAAAAAAAAAGTCTTTTAAAAAAAGGTTATTTCAGTGTGTGTGTGTGTGTGTGTGTGACAGAGAGAGAGAGAGAGAGAGAGCAGAGGTACTGGCATACTGCATTTTACCTGGAGGGCCACACACGGCTGCCATGTGTCCAAGCTTGAGCTAGACAAATCCTGGTCAACAAAGGACATGCACCCAGACAGTTATACAGGTGGGCCACAGGAGCAGCTGGATGACGCTCACATGACCTTACCCCAAAGTACCCAAGCGGGCCCCAGTTCTGCTGCTTCCCATGGCCTGTGATTTCTGAGAATGACCTTGCTCTCTCTGCTAGCCCTCAAACTGCCTGAACAGCTGGTCCTGGAAGGCTGAACAGCACTGGACACATAAAGGTGGCTCACAGAAGAGTCTTCGGGTGGGTGTTTACCGAGAGTTCGTGCTTCTATTGCCCCCAAGTGTTTCAAGTCCAGTGCATCACAAGGGTGGAAAGCTTTACACAGAACATGTTCAGGAATGCCTTGTCTGAACTGTCTGAACCACCAGCAAGGAATCAGTTTGAAGATTTCCTCTGTATTTGCTAAGAAAAAAATGCAAGTGAACGAGCCCAGGGGAGGCTGGGGTGTCCCATGACTCCCGCTTCAGAAGGCAGTCATGTGCTCCACCTGCTCCCACCCTCAAAAGCATGTTCACAATTCTCTAGTGCCATTTTAAAGAACACAAAGACAGGGGATAGGAAGGTGCTCCCCCTGAAAGACAGCCAAATTACCCCCAGCACCCCTCAAAAGGCACTAGGGGCCTTTTGTGGTTAAAAAAAAGTCTTTCAAAAAAAGGTTATTTCAGAGTGTGTGTGTGTGTGTGTGGGTAGAACAGAAGTACTGGGGATACTGCATTTTACCTGGAGGACCACACATGGCATGAAGGCTGCCCGGTATCCAAGCCTGAGCTAGACAAATCCTATCTTTACTTGCCTGCAACTCTAGGGAGACAATGTCCGTGATCGGGAGTAACACAATGCCTCCTTCCTCTCAGTGAAATGGGCCTAGAGTTCATTTCAAGTGACAGCCTCCATCGTATTAACACTGGCAGCCTTAGAGACTACTACAAGGTGCTCACTTGCTCCCCTGTCTCCATGAAACAACAGACCACGTCAAGCTGCAGGGCCCCCCCCTCACCTCCATCCCCAGGAAGGCAAGTGGGCGGGCTTGCTTGCAGTGGCCCTCCTAAACCACCCCAAGAACTGTGTGAAAGGCAGTGCTTTCCAATGGTTCTCTTCCCCTGCAATTCCCACGGCTGGCCGGCCGTGGCCTTCTCCGGGACTGTGCTTTTGCTCTTAGAGAGGACAAAATGCCTTTATACCACAGGGGCTTCAAGCTCTTTGTCGTTTTTTACATGTTTATTGTTATTCTACTTGTTGTGAACCACCCAGAGAGGTGCATTGTTCTTATGGCACGGGTATATAAAGCAAAATGACATGAACCATGGAATAAACGATTCTAATGGGAGACGCTAACGGAACCAAAAACAGGTACAATGGGAAAGGAGGCCAGAGAACACACCCCTCCTGCCGGCTACAAGAGCCTCTCACCTTGCAAACCCCTGGGGCAGCTCCCCCAGGCCATACAGAGGGTACAGGTAGGGGCTCTTGCCGTATTTAGCTAGAGACTCGCTGTACAGTTTAATCCTGTTGATTGTTTCATGGCAGGGTTGGTCTAGGTAGCTGAGAGAGAGAGAGAAAAGAGGAGAGTTCAGATGAGCAAGAAGAGTTCATGACGGGTGCCAGCTCTTCAGAGTCCCCCACCACCACCGCTGCCATTTTCCAGGACTCCTCCCCCAGCTCCCATGGCAGTCCCTTTCTTCTCCTCCTCTTCACTAAGCCAGCCTTCAGACCGCAACGTGGCCACCTGTATTATGCACCCCAGGCTTCTAAAACCCTATTTGGACAGGATCAGAATGGGGTTTAGGGTGACACCCAGGGTGCAGGATGGGGCACCTGTGGCCTAGCCAACATGGGCACCTCCTGGCCTGAATGCGGCGAGTTGCCGGTGGCCAGCCAGCCTCCAAGCCTGGCGTCTCTTGGTTAGAGGCCCATCGCTGTTCTGCTTCAAAGCAGCCCCGATTGGCAGAGATCCTGGGGAGGTTCTCTGGTTTCAAAACCTTCTACCCATCTCACCCCACCAGCAAGGGCTCCTCTCCTGGGAGCGTCTGGAAAGGCAGCCACTCACTCATCGGTTCGGTAGAGCGCCAGGGCATGGCCGGTGAAATCTATGACATCTTGGCCAAGGTCAAACTTCTTGTACAAGTCCCGCATGGTGTTCTTCTTGGGATCCACGCCTTCAAAAGTGCGGGCATCGTTCTCATCAAAATTGGCCACGTATACTAGGAATTTCCTGAAGCGCCTTTTCTCAAACAAGCCCATCAGACCTAAGAAATCAGGAAACACTGAGCCTAGAGAGCACATGCTTTGATAAACAGTCTTAAAACCAAGTTGTTTTCCTCACCGTTGTTACCATCTATCTCATGGAACAAGAAAAGAGGGTTTTCAGCACCACCCTTGGTTGAGTTACTGAACTTGAGCTACCAAGCTCCAAACAATTATTTTGATTGCCACCTAAACACAACCACAAATCAAGGCTTGGGGGGGGGGACCAAAAACCTGGGATCAACACAAGACGACAAAACCCTGGCTGAGTGAGGAAGAAATGAACCGATCAGTCTGAAGACAAGCTTAAAGCCTGCTGGCTGGCTTCACACCGGCGACAACTGTTGGTCTTTGGGTGAACGGAATGCTGGACCTGACACACCTCTGGCTGAATCCAGCTCCAAGGGTCTTCCATTCTTCCATTGATCATTATTTAAAATATTTCCACCTTGCTTTTCTCATTAAAAGGCCTTTAAATTTTAAAATAAAGTTTAATCTGCATACCGCAAATTCTGTGTGGGCTATTCCTAAGCAAATACCAATAAATTCTGAAGCCACGGCAAGCTATGCTGTGTACGGGTTAGACGCCAGCAAGACTCTTCCAACTTACAACAACGCTATGAATCATTAACAGCCCTGCCCAGTCTTGCAGACTAAATGGTGGCAGCCTCCTTTAACTAAGTCAATCCACTTCCTGTTCCGTTTCCCTCTTTTCCTAGTTCTGTCAACACTTCCAGCTATTCCTGCTTTTTTCATGAGGAGCTGGCCTAAAGAAGATAAAAACTTCTTCTGGGCTCAGTTTCCCAAAGTGGGATCCGTGTTCAGTTACTGGACTACTGTGCCTCAGAACACACCCAGCTCAGTTTTCAACGTGATCTTCTTTGCTAAATCACCTGAAACTGAGACTTAAATGTTACTGACAGCTGCTATGTTGGCACCATTTGGCCTCCCACTTTGTTCTCACCACCCGATGCCCCTAGGAAACCTCCGGCCTACTTTGCCAGGGGCAGAGAGGACACCGTGACTGCGGTCCCTTGAGCTGAGGCTGATCGTTCAGGAGGGCCTCGCTGGATCAATCTTTTCTGTCCACTTAAGAATGAACTGCACTGAAAAAAAAAACTCATTGGCCCAACTTCAACCAATCAGCCTTGCCTCACAAAGTGGATCCCCTGGCCTCCGAGCAAGTCAGACCACACTGCCTTGCTTCGCTTAATCGTCTGCACTAAAACTAGGAACAGCGGTCAGGGGCCTTGGGCTGAACATCCTTCCTAGCTCAGCCACTTGATAATTACAGATGCTGGGGGCTGCCAAAGGAAGACCTCAGCACTGAGTTCTGGCCTCAAGTCTCAGAATTCCTTGACAGCGTGTGAAAAAAAGAGAAGAATGACTCATGGTAGCTGTACAGGGATCAGTATGACCGACCGTGAGGCTTAACCGTTTTATTATGCTCTGATGGCATCATCGCTACCCGGCTTAGCGGCTGTTAAAGGGGATAGAAGGCTTTCAGACATCCAAGCGTATCACTGCCTATTTAAGAGGGGTGGAGAGTGGCGATTTCCCAGGGGCATCACTTCATGTGTGGTCTCTGATCTATAAGGTGATTTATTTTTTTACCTTCCATGTCATTAAAAGTAACACAGATATTCCTCTAATACCTAGCACAGGATGAGCCAACCAACCTACTCCCACACAAGATTTCATATATTTAGAGTTTTATGAATGCCACACATAATGTACAGGCAATCTTTTAGACTAGAGTCTGGTGGTGCAGTGGTTAAACTTCAGTACTGCAGTCAAAACTCTGTTCATGACCCACGTGCAATCTCAACAGATTCAGGTAGCTGGCTCAAGGCTGACTCAACCTTCGAGTGCCCACGTCGCCAGGGGGAGCGGGGCAGCGACAATATACAGCCTGCGTAATTCAACTGTAAGCCACCCAGAGTGTGTTTTAAGCATTATGGGGTGGTACGCAAGTAGGTTAATTTTTTTGGTTTGTTTCTATGTCTGAACTCTACATGGTCTTCTTCTTGATTACCGTATTTTTCGCTCCATAAGACGCACCTTTCCATAAGACGCACCAATTTTTAGGAGAAGAAAACAGGAAAATATAATCTGTTTTCTTCACTCCATAAGACGCACAGACTTTCCACCCCCGTTTTGTGGGGAAAAAGTGCGTCTTATGGTGCGAAAAATACGGTAATTTCAATTGCACATTTCTGAACACTACACAGCAGCAGTAACACATCTCTCACGCGTTCCCAATTTCTTAAAGGAAACTCTGTTCCACAAATGCTGTACTTGAGCACAGGTTATGCACAACAGAGATCAAACGGAAGTACTTACTGGACGCCAGGGCTTCTGCTTCAGTCGAAGGAACTTTGTAGATTTTCCCTCCCTTGTAGACAAAGCTTCCTTCTATCACTTTGAAGTCCAGATAGCGCGTGACTTCTGTGTACAGCAGCATCTTGACCAGCTGACCTGGAACCGAACGGATTTTAAAGAGAGGCTGCTGGAAGCTAGGGCAGCTGTAGGTTTCAAGCGACATGGAGACTAAGGCTAAGACCCATCAGAACAGAGGTCGGCAATCAGGTGGCAGGCAATCGGAGTGAAGGGCAGGGCCTGGACTGGGCACCCCTCAATCCAATCAAGCCCTTAAAAGTCTGAACAGACAGACGGGGTGGCGGAGTGTGATGGGAGGCAGCAGAAGAATCCAGCTGCAGGGAAGCCCTTCTGAGAGCAGCACGTGGCATGTGGGGTTGCCTAAATCTATCGCAGAAGGTGAGAGACTCTGGGTAACAGCCAACCGTATAGCTACTGCTCAAGAAAAGGACTTTCTTATGGGACATCTTTACTACACAGGGCTTGATTACGAAGCTACACGCCCATTCTTCCTAAAAATATAGACATGGTGCGAGATTCACAAACTTCAACTGCAGTGCTGACAAAGTTATTAGACAGCCGGATGTACTTTCTCAGCCTACCCAGATCCATCTAAAACTCTGTCATGCTGAAACTGATTTGCTAAACTTTTAAAACTTCCTAGACAGGGGCAGGATAATCCCAAAGGCTACCAGTCAAAGGCAAGATTTGCTGTGTGCCAGGCACATGGTTCACCTCCAGTGTCATTGAGTGACGAGCTTGGCATGGCTCATATGGGGGTGAAAAGCAAGCTATGGCTCTGTGCCACCAGGATTTTAACCCAAAGGCTACCTGGACGTTTGCCCGGGTTAAAGTTCTCTGGTGATGAATAAATTCCAATAAAGGAAGCACCCAACACAGAGCATCCCACACCAACAAATCCCCTTGGAAAGAGATGCTGATAAACTGGTTCTCTTCACATCCATGAGTTGTACAAAAAAGTACACAGATGCTGCAGCCACCTTGCAAAAGTCACAGGGAGAGACCACAATGCAGCCAGACTCCCAAATTAATGCTACCGAGACACGGCAGAAACTGACACACAATGGACAAACCCAGAACTTTTTGGGCTCCAAAGCATTTGGGAGCGAGGACGTCTGCAATTTATTTCAGCCAGAAGAAGACACTCTGGGGAGTAGCCAGTCGCTTACCATTAGCCATCAGGAACTTTGGAATCAGGTCCACATTCCAGTCTCTACCTCTGCCCATCGACTCTGGCGGGGATCCCGGCAAGCCAAACCGTTTGTACAACTGAAGGAAGGGAGAAGTCATCCATTACGACTGTGTGTGATGTACAGAGGAAAAGGGTAAGAGGCCGTCGGGGCTGGCCACACTGCTTCAATGCCAAGTTTTGTTCACAATGCTTGAGAAAAATCCAGCAACCTGAGGGCTCCCCCAAGGTAAGACCCCCCCACCAACTCCAGCCCAACTCCGATGGCCCACAATCAGCTAATGTCATTCATAGCTGTTTGATTTAGATTTCTACCAGGGCAACTTTGGAAGGCCTGGGATGCCAGTCTTCTGCCCCAGAGCCCAACCAGGTCCCATACCAGCTCCCCAAACAAGGAAAAGTACGGAAAAGCTAAAGCACTGCTGGAATCCCACTTCCGGTTTCACTTTTGTGCATTTAGGAGGGGTTGGCTGAAGGACTGCAACCTGCTTAATTGAGAAAAGACCACTCCTGACTACAGTATTTCCAAGAGTGGGGGAAATTACATTTTTTGGCATATTTTTTTTTTAAAAAATAACAACACATGGGGACATCTGGAAAGACCAAAATGGTCTTGGTGAGCCACTGATAGTCCGGGCAGCACTCAGCCCAGACCATTCCAGCTAGAGAAGAAACCCATCGGCTGAAGACAGTGTAATTGGCAGAAAGCATTTTATCCTACCAATTAAGACTGTAATTCTCAAAGGGAATCTGGCTCACAAAGTGACGGAAAGCTTCCATTAGCACAACCCTTTCACCAGCCATGCAGCAGAATTACATACAGCTTGATAATAAATAAATCCATTACAACAGCTTGACTAGCTTGGCATGAGCGACGGCTCCAGAGGCTGTGCATTCCAGGAGCTTTACACAAATCCGACGTGTGAGCAAGCTAGCTAATTGGGCTAAACACGACTCGTGCCCCACAACACGAGACAGATGATAGACAATGCTGACTGAGAGAACAAAAATCCAGAGACCACCCTGAAAAGGCCTGCAGTCGACCTGCAAGGACACAACCGAGACTTCACAGAAGGAATAAATCCACCACAGAGGCCTCCCACTACTGGCAAGGGCAATCCCAGCAGGATTCAGAACCCGTAGAGCGAGGCTCCCTCCTAGCCTCAAGATCACGTTCGATTACAAAGGTTCAGAAAACAAATGTCAATCCCATTCCCATCGACAAAGTATCTCCTTGCTCTCATCCTGCCACCTCTCTTCTACAGCTGCTTAACATATGCCTTCAGTTTTCCCAAAGAACCAGGCAGGCTCAAAATGTATTATCCTTACCTGCCACGCCTGGCCCCCAGCTAAACTTAGACGACATATGCAGGCTTCCCTACTTACCCACATTGCAATTTATCCCTCAACCCCAGCCTTCCCCACCAAAGGATCTGTTCCATTTTACCCTGCAGAATGCCATGCACGTTGGTACCCATGTACCATTCAGCAGCACATATGCTGGGCTACAACTCCCAGAATTCCCAGCTAACACGGAGTTTATATTAATCCGACCACCCCACACTCCCATCATCTTCATTCAGCAGCTACCTGGAAGGTCCCTGTGACAGGAGCCATGCTGCATAAATCTCCCAGAGAGAGACAGGCAAGAGTCTGGCAAAGGCTCTGAAGGACTGGGGTACTCACATCTTCCAGGGGTGTAATGGATGCACTTTCACCTCCATAGTATGCATTACGATCCATGTGAAGAACCTTCTTTCCATTCACTGACATAATGCCAGAGAGAATGCATTCCTACAGAGGAAACGGAAAGACAAAGAAGATCAAACCACGGAAACCTCCACGTTTTACTCTACCGTTCGAAATGTGCAGGCGGTTTCCAGTGAAACAGAAGAACCTGGGCTGGCTGAAACTGAGCCGTGGCAGCTAAGCGAGGCACCTTGTGTGACACGTCAAGTCCCCCTGCTGAGTTAAGGCAGGTCTGGAAACGTGAGCATAGCAGGAAAAAAGAAAAGACGAGGTATTGCTTATTAACTTTTGGTAGATTACCTACATCAAGTTTATAAGTGGCAGAGAGCACCAGTGGAACAAGAAACAAAAACAAAATAAAAAAATTAAAGAAGGCAAAATACAAAAATGTTGGGGTGCCTTGAAGATTAACTGGTATATTTTAATGTGAGCTTTCAAAGACAGGTCCACTTCCTCAGACTCGTCCACAAAAGTTCACATTAAAATAAAGCACTTAGTCTTTAAGGTGCCACCGTGATTCTGTCTCCTTTTTTAAATTTTTCATTTGTTGTTGGCCTGGTATGCTGGTATAGACAAACACGGCCATCTTTTCTAAAACGGCAGAGAAAGACCAACACTCTGAACTCCCGAGTCTGCAAACAAACAAACAAAAAAGGAAGTGCGTAGAAACTACAGCGCCACACAAACTTGTTTCATAGGACAGAAACGTGGTCATTCAGAAGAAGCTTTTCGGAGCTGGCTTCAGCACTCGGTGCTCCCTGTGAACAACACCACAGGAACTGAAGACAATCCATTTCACCTGCCAGGTCTGGAGGTCAGTTTTGCCTCAAACTGACACCAAGTGGCAGAGTGCACAGCTTCTACTTTTTGAGTAAAGCTTCTACCGAAGACCGTGTTCCTAGGCAAGACGGGCTTAAATAGCCCAGATCAGATTCCAACATTTGAAATAATTGCTTGCCTCCCCACCCCAAGCAAGGCAGGGCTCCAGGGGTGGGGTTCTTGTGGGTGAGGAGGAAGCACAGCAAGCAGGCCGCGTGCCCGGGCACTTCCTTTGGCAACCCAAAGCTGCAAGTTAAACTCTAGCCTTCCTCAGATTTCAGGAAGAGCCAAAGCACACCACCTCAAGATTGTGGGGGAAGGAAAGAGAGAACGCGGACAGGAAGGTGCTAGAAAGCGAACTGATTCTGAGCAATGCCTTCCGTTAGACTGTGGGTGCCATCCAGACTGCTTGCAGGAAAAAAACTGCTGCCAGGAACCAGAAAACCTCTAATGAGCAACGAGAAGTTGCTTTGGTGGAATGACCCCTTTATTACTGCCAGACGCGCCCACCTTATACCCATTTTCTACTTCTGGAAGAAGGTGATCGGAGCCTGGACTGTCAGAAGAAATTGCTCCTTCAGAATAACATTATAGTACAGAGAGCTCAGTGGTTAGGCATCTGGCTGCAAAGTCAGAGGTTGGGAGTTTAATTCCCCATTGTTTCTTCTTGCCAGGGGTTGGACTCCACGAGCCATAGAGCCAAGCCTTCCACCTGTGCAGTTCTAAGATGATTATGATGATGATGATCCTTAATGACCTCCTGGAGAGCTCTGTGGTTTAGGTCTCTGGCTACAGAGCCAAAGGTTGGGAGTTTGATTCCCCTACTGTGCCTCCTTGGCAGGGACTGGACTTGATGTTCCATAGGATCCCTTCCAGCTTTGCAATTCTAAGATGATTAGATCTCTGTAGGCACATAACTGCATTGCCACATGTTTACTGTAAGTCCACGTGGCTGAAAAGCATGGCATTGCACAGTCCCATCTCCCTGAAACCCTGAGCCTTTCCCCTTTTTTGACAGCCTAATAGCAGATGCAAAAAGAGATGGCACACATTGTTTACCGGTACTTGGTTTAATGTATTCTAACCTTTGCACCCAATTCCTGACTGAGGCTTCCTGCAGTGGTAATTGAAGTATTTAAGCCTCAGATTGCTCACCATCCCTTTTGCAGGCAAACAGATTTTCAAGAAAGCACAGTAAAGGATCCATGCAGCTGAGTCACCCAGCAGGACTGGTTCACGGAGAGCAAGCAAGTTCCTGCACACAAGTTCTTAGCTGGTTCAGTGCCCAGATTCAGAAAACTGTAAGTCTAAGTCATCCAGGACCTGCTGCCGCCTGCTGTCCCAGACCACCGCAGACGAACACACTGCCTCAATGCCCACCAGTTCTGCCCATTTCTTATTGGGGTTCAGGAAGTCTCTGCGCTGAAAGGAGTGCACCAGAGATTCAAGCTTGTGTTATGCTACATTTGATATCTACGGGATGCCAGGAATCCAAACAGCTTCAAGAGATGGGCCAGAATATGCAATGAACACAAAGAAATAACAAGAGAGCCGGCCAAGAACTTGCCACCAGCATGCAGGCTGAGAGGTTTTCAACAAGAGTGGCTTGCGTTAGGCCAATTAGTCTTAAGCCACCCTGTAGAATGAAGCCTTTGCCTTAGAACTGTCTATCTCAATCTCCGACACACTGCTGAGATGCCACTGATTCTGAATAGGCATTCTAGCCCACTTCTTCATATCCACAAAGATCTCTCGTTACCTCCAATGACTGCAAGGCAAATCCACGATAACCTGATCATAAGAACATGATTAAAGATTCCAAAGAAGGTCTCCATACCACAACACTAACTGAATGTGACAACACAGCTGTTCAGAACAGTACACAAAATGTCTTGGCTTTACTTTCCAGGGAAGACACAGCCCGAGTACCGTCTGTTTATGCTGTGACTCATAACCTAGTGGCACCTATGGTAGTCTTTTATGGAGAAAGCAATGGATATAACGGCGTATGATGCAACTTACCTTCCCGTAAGTCAGAGATACGCCACCTCATGCGCTCCAAATGTTCCGGACTACAGCTCCCATGAATGCCAGCAAGGCCAAGGATTATGGGAACTGTAGTCCAAGTCCACATGCCTCTAGTCTGCATTTCTTGTTATGTACCATCAACCCTCGTCTAACTTATGATGACACTGGAAATTAAGGACCTCCAAAGTGCACATGGTTCTCCTCCTCCCACTTAATCCTCACATTAACCCTGTGTGGCAGGTTAGGCTGAGAGACTGGCTGGCTGAAGGTCACACAATGAGCTTCACAGCCAAGAGGGGATCTGAACCTGGACCTCTTGAATCACAGTAAAATACCCTAACCAATACACCAACTGGCCCTTATTGCAAAATCCTGAGCATTATTTTGCTTGCAAAGGAAATTAATAGAGTGGCTTTACATTTACTGCACAATTTGATGTCTCCTGGGGGGGGGGGGACAGGAATGTATACTGAATGTTTTCTAGTCTGTGACTCACTGTTTTCGTCTTTTGTATTTGTTGGCATATTCTTGTTAGGATTTTGACGGAAGTGGTTGCTGGGGATTTATTTATTTCAACTGCTCAAAAGCAGCTTTCACGTTGCCTTCTAAAACTGCAGGTTCTTATCCGTGGGTTCTTTAGGGATCAGCCATCCTTTCATCTCTTCTACATACTATTTCTGACAGTATCTTATTTTATCCTGATCCAGTAATATAGTCCCTTGCTGATCTTTCAGCCTACTTGATCTTGATTCAAACTTCCCTTTGATTTCTTAAATCTTATGGAAGAAGCTTCTTGTTTTTCCTTTTTTGTTGTTCTTTTCCACTACTTTGTACTGACTACTAAAATACAGCAGTTATCTTTGCTCTTACATGAAAGTCACTGAAAAGTTTCATTTAAGATACTGTCAGCCACCTTGTTCTTTCTTTCGACTATGGGAAAAGACTTTCTGCATTTCCCCCGATAATATTTTAGCCTCAATCCGCAGTTCTTCTAGTTTTCAGTCAACTTGGTTTAGTACTGCAAATCTGTTCTTTACACTGTCTTTAAATTCTTCAGAAACATTACTTACATTTTACTTTGACAATGTTATTGCTTTGGTATTTTTCAGTTTTACTGATGTTCTGATCTTAACAGTTCATGGTCTGTACCCCAGTTCACTCCTGTTCTCGTTTCTGCAGAAGGAATGGTCTACAATAATGTAATCTATTTGATTTCAGTATTGGTCATCTGATAGCATTCACAAGCGTCTCTTTAGTTGACTGACCCTCAAGGATTTGGATGGATTGAAGAACATATTGGCTGATTTCACAGAAGTTTGAGCTGCACTCTTGTTTCTTATCCAAGACCAAATTATCCACTGTTTGGTTTTGCTTTATTCTCTGCTTCTACATTCCAGTCACTTACGATTATGACCACATCCTGTTTTGGTGCGTGATCAGTTTCCTTCTCAACATTTACATAAAAGTTTTCCATTTCCTCTATTAACACCTGCAGCTGGAGCACAAACCTCAATAAGGGTGGTGTTGATCTGTTCTCCTGAAGTATGACTGATACTATTCAGTCAGATCTTGTACTTTCACTTCTAACTGCTTGTGTTATGGTCTTGCTTCACTATTAGAGTTGCACCTTTTCTTCCGAGTCTGCTGTATCCAGGATAAAATATTCTGAACTGACTGAAAATCTCTTGCTCCAGTCCATTTGAGCTCACTTGCAAAACATATGACAATATTTCAACATTCCATTTCTTGCTTTACAGTTTCAAGGTTACCTTGATTCCTTCTTCTCAATATTATTTGCTCTAATGGCAACCACTGTACACCACTGGATTTTCCTTCCACCATGGTGCGTCTCAGCTAATAGTATTGGCTTTAGCATTATGAGCAACAGTACAATTTGCACTTATCCTTTGTTCTTCCCCAGAACACGAGTGCCTTTTGACTGACTGTGCCATCTTTTACCACTGCCTCCTTTTGTTTTGGATGCTATTATTTGAAATATAAAATTACAGTATTCCAAAGTGGTTTGAAGTGGTTTCTACTGTCTTGTACTAACAGCTGGCTTGATTGCTTACTGCTGCTGCGAAAGATCCTGCCTCATCATCATGATTGCGACTATTCTCTTCTGCTGATGCAACTGTTAATTCCCAATAAGGATGGATGTACCTTACGCTGGTGTTTTTTAACAATAAACTTAGAACTGCAGAGCTGGAAGGGGCCCTATGGATCATCAAGTCCAGTCCCTGTGAAGGAAGCACAGTGCGGGGAACTGAACTCCCAATCTAAGCTATCCAGTCTTGGCTCTGACGACTCCACCTTGGCTAATCTTGTTGCGAGTCTGAACTAGTAACAGATGCTGATGGCTTGACAGCACTGATCTCAGCTTCCTGATATACCCAAACATTTTCTCATGTTAAGGTGTGCATCCAAGAGCACACCTCTGTTACACATCAAGACCACTGATCATACAGCACCGTGGCTAACCACCCGGGGCTAGAGTATTTGAAAGTGGAAGCATGGATGGACGAAAACTTGTTGATCAACCAGAACAGTGGATAAACACAGCATGGCCGTGACAGTTTGAGTTAAGCCCATTATAAAGTCTTGTTTTTCTTTCATTCTTTCTTTTCCACTAAAAAATGATGCTCAAGGCAAGATGGTAACAATACTAATTATTGTGCCATCAAGTTGATTCTGAGTTACAGCAACTCCCTCCAGAGAAATCCAGGTTTAGAATACTCAGAAGTAGTTCACTTTTCCCTCCTCCTCCTGGGAGTGCTACACAGGCTGGTTCTTCTTCCAGGGAGCACACAGTAGAAAATGTTAAATTTCCAATTTCTGCCTTTACATCCAGGTATCCAACTCACTTAGCTAATAATGAGGACGAAATAGGATAACAATTGAAACAAACACAAATTAAAAATGCAGTAGTAAAGAATATAACGAACTACAAAAATCTAGTTAATTCCCCTGCAGCAACAAAGCAACTAAGCATAAGGACATTTCTGCCAGCTGACAGAACAACAGAGAGAAAGCCCACCCAGCCTCCCTTGCAATTGGTTCAAGAGCCTGGCGCAGTCACCCAGCAGGCCCCTTCTTGAAGCCCCAATAGCTGCACGTCCAAACCCTGTGAAACTGAAGCAAGACCCCCTCACATTAAAAAGCTCAGGCAGGCTCATGAGAGAATGCCATCAACCAAATTGCTTGACTTGAAATAGCATGTTTTTATGGGTCACACTCGGCCGTTTAAATTGTGCCAGAACCAAAACCACAGCCAAGTAAGGCTGCTGTAGCTAGTGAATCATGCACCTTCTTAACCAGCCCCATCAATGGTTTGGCCACTGAAATCTAGACTAGCCAAAATTTCGAAACACTTCATAAAAGTAGAATGTGTTGGAAGCAGGGTGGATAAAAATCAATTTTTAAACATCAAATTGATTTTAAACCATCTTCAAAATATCTTTTTTTAAAGTTAAATTGTGATTTAAATCAATTTGATTTCAATCAAATCTACCCTGGTTGGAAGTAATCCAAATGGGATTTAAATTTTTTAATGTATAGTTTTCTTCAATGCTGTTGAAACCTCAGCAACTGATGTACGAAACTCCCAGCATAGCCCCCAACCCCCCAACTGCTTTGGCACAAGACAAGGGCAGAGGCTGTACGCAATGTGCGGTATCTCTTTCGTTTATTTCAAACTACTGACAAAATCGGCTTCAGGCCCTGTTTCTGCAAGCAGAAATCACTTACGTCACCATAAGTAACTGCAACTTCAATGCAGCTGGGCTGAAAGCAACCTGCTGCCATGTGGATATGAAACAATTCGGGGCATAACGGGTGGAAAGAGAACTGTTTGAAAACCAACAGGCCTTCTTGCCCGTCCTAACTGGCAGGGTTACATGGAGGCTCAGGGCTTTGGCAGAATGTTCAAGCACCTTGCAGGTTCCTCAAAAATCAGACACAGGTGCCAAATAAACAGGGAGGGAGAGAGGCAAGTTGGGAGAGACAAGAACCACCGAGAATGAGATTGAATCGTATCACAGCTCCGCTGCTGAAGCTACTCTGAAACTATTCTACAAAATATAAAACTACAAGTCACTGGTCAGACTGGGACTCTGCATCCACAATGTAGATTCTGCATAGATGTTTAGGCCAGAGCTCCAAACCAATACGGATTATTTGTTCTACTCCCATGTTTTTGGGAAAGAGTGATTTTTAGGTATGTACCTGGACCTGCAGATTGCTGTATTTTGCAGCAGCTCTGGAATAATTAGAAGATGTTATTCTAACTAATGCCATACAAGTCAACCGCAAACTGAACCGTGATGTTGTGACACACTGTAAGGTCATTTCCCATTTATTGCAGTTCTATGAAGTAGTGGCGACCTATGGACGAAAAGAGCAGATACTGATTAAATGGTTTTCAATGCATTCCTATGGGAAATGCAGATTCGACTTAAGAACTTTTCTACTTGAGAACTGCCTTCCAATATGGATTAAGTTTGTAAGTCGAGACCCCACTGTATAAGGTCATTTCCCATTTATTGCAGCTCTATGAAGTAGTGGTGAGACCCAGTATAGTGTAGTAGAGAGGGAATTCAGGAAGGTTCAGATTTGTGACACACTGTAAGGTCATTTCCCATTTATTGCAGTTCTATGAAGTAGTGGTGAGACCCAGTATAGTGTAGTAGAGAGGGAATTCAGGAATCTTGGGTTCAGATTCCAGGTTGGCCATGGGAACTCACTGGGAAATGGTGACAGTAACCTATTCCTTGAGTGGCTCACATACCTCAAAAGCCCTATTAGGGCTGCTTTAAGTAGGAAGTGACCTACAAGCCTGCTTAATCTGGACTGTGTGTTTTCATGTCACACTGTTAGTGCTGTGGATCTCCACCCATCTAGCCATCCAGCGTAGAAAGGGCTTGGAGTGCTACACACACATTATTCTACTAGAAATCGCAGGAGGAATGCTGGGATCAATCCCTTTCTCTAGTACATCATGGCAAGCTTTCCGATATAACACAATCACAAAGAAAGTCCTCTTTGTTCAATGGCGTAATCAAGATCCACGATGCCCAAAGTTATAATTCCTAGCTAAACAGATGCCACATGTAACTTAAAAACACCATTTCTTCTCCCCTGCAAGGATTCCTGAAAAGCTCTGTTCAATCACAGAAACAAATCATTCAAGTCGCATGAACACTGTTATCTCACAAAAAACCACATTTATTAATTTTGTGTTTGAAACTCTGAGTGTTATGGAAGAACTGCAATTAGAAACAGTAAAATGTTTGTTTGCAGTCTGGAAAAATACCTCCTGGCTTAGTTCTTTAAAAAGATGGTTAGTTTATAGATAGAGAACAGAAGTAATAAAGTTCTGAATGCTACCTGTTGAAAACATGTATTATCATCATGACACAGTTCTATGTTTTTTAAAAAAGATGCAACCCCTTTTTAATCTCAATGTGACCACAATGCACAAATCATCAAAATGTATATACAAAATCAACCACCAACAAATGCAAGGTAAGAGATACTGCTCTGTAAACTACAAACTCAGAGAAACATTTAGAAAATAGCAGCTAAATCCATAGCATTCAGCTGCCCATAAAAATTTCTCCCAAGAAGCAGCCAGAGAACCACAACTTGCAGTTTGTCTTGGAAAACTAAATGGGCACTCAGAAGTTTTTAAGACTTCTTCGACAGGCCAATGATGGTAATGAGGCCTACAGTAGGTCATTTGGTAACGTGTTGCACAACTGTGGAGACACATCAGGAAAAGCTGCTCTCTTGTGGCCACCAGCTTTGCTGCCCTCATTGGTGAACACACCACGGGACTTAAGCAGCTCACCCCAAAAGGCAGGCATGCTGGCAATGATGACTTGTGGCTCTCTGAATACCTCCTCCACTGAAGATTAAAGTCAGCACCTTAAATTATATTGCAAGTGCACCTGCAATCCAGGCAGCTGGTATAAAAGTGGTGGGACATGGTCCACTAATCACGAGTCACCAATATATGGTGGACATCAGGCTACCCACTGCTGGTCCAGGGAGCAGGTGACCTCTGAACGGTTTGGGTTGCAGAAGCTGAGGTTTATTTATAATATGATTGGACAGTGCACTAGTCCAGCTGATCTCTGTATCAACACTGCATGGACATGAGCGACTATCTGCAAAACGTTCTGGAAGGAAGTCACGGTGAGCCTTCAAGCATTCAAACTTCTGCATCCCAAAGCACATAAATAAGGAACAAGATCCAAAGTTTGTCACATCTGTTCAGCAAGACGGACAGTTGCAAGGGGAAACACCTCCCTCGAAAAACCACATTGCAAACCTGAGCAGCTGTTAAACTCCAAGCATAATTATATGATTACTGGACATATTTTGGGACTTCCTCTGGCTGTGACTTATAAAATATCCTCTAGCCTGATGAACTCAAAAGCCTGCATGCTTTGGTGGATGTTTAGTTGGCTGTAATACAGGCATCATCAACCATTTGTAGATTTTGCTTTCGTTTTGAACAAGTCCTTTCCTGCTATCTGCTTAAACAGAAGTTATTCTTACAATACTGACTGGATCCTTTTACTCTGGTCTTTCTTAGTACTACTTTGTTATTTTGGTATTCTGATACATAATTTCTTAAGTTCTAAATAAAGACTTATTTCACCTGTTTGTACACCTACCAAAATCCTGAAGTCTTTCAATACTCACCCAAATCCTTAAAAGGCCACCTCTGTCAGAGAAGGGAAAATAAGCTTAGGGCCATTAAATCCCCTAAGTAGAAAAGTACATACAGGAGTTTTACCCACCACAAATTGTAACAATGGAATTTCAGTTTCAATCAACATTGTCTTACGATGCAAAGGAAATGGGCATAAGCAAGTATGTCCCCAGAGATCAAAATTCAGTCCAACATGCACCCAAGCATGAGAAAACGTGATCTGCCCCATGCTTATGCTGGACAGCTGCTCATACTGAACCCTGAACAGCAGCATCCTAGCTTTCTGTTCTTCTTTTTTGAGCAACAAAGCAAAATGCTTTTGAAACCATACGTTGAGTTAGAGGACACGCTCACCAAGACTGAAGAAGGATGCCACTTGTTACTAATCACCTTCATTAAGATACCCAATGTCTAACCACAGTAACACTCAACAATCTGGAAATGCAGATCGGTCTTTGCTGACTTCTACCCACAGGCCTCTACAGGCAGGGAAGAATGCAAAGCATGTTTCACAGCCGAGAGACAGAAATCGCTGTGCTATCCCTGAAAATGACAAAGCCTAACAACAAAAGCAGGAAGGCGCTTGCTTGAACAATTGCAGGAAGCAGGCATTCATTCACAACCACATTTATTTCTCCCAGAGTCCTGGAAAGAACAATGCCTCCTCTTATCCTCTGACTTGCTACCTATTATTTATTCAGACCTGCTATTCTACTGCCAATGTTGAAATTAAGCATATATGAAGCTCTTCTGCCTGGTGTCTACCATTTCTCACCCACAGGCAGTATCCCAAAGGTTACACAGGGCAATCTTCCCACACAACTGTCCACCTCCATACAACAAAGCAAGCCCCCAGAGAGGAACATGGATCTCAGCTACCACCCAGCTTATCGGGATCAGGATTATGCCTTCAATGACAATTCATTGTTTTGTAACAAGCCAATTTCCCAAGAACTTGTAAATGTCATTACAGGAAGTGCTACTGCAGCCATGCGTCAAGCCACCTCACACACTGAAATGATTTGGAAATAATGCTAAGCTACAAGTGTTGGCCTTGCGAAAAAGCTGAAATTTGATTCCTCTGGACATTCAAGCGAGAAGCGAGTGAGAACCTGAGATTATAAGTAATGCACACCAATGGAGACAACAACTTGAAAGGGAGCAACAGGAAAATGAAGGTCAATATTTAATGAACGCTTCTGGTTCCTCCTCACTTTTAAACAGGCTGCTTGTTCCTGTGTCATTTTACAGAGACCAGTTTATCTTGCAGAAAGGGTGCCAGATAGCTCAGTGGTTTAGGTCTCTGGCTGGAGAGCACTAGAGGTTGGGAGTTTGATTTGAATTAAACAGAGACTGGATTTGATGATCCATAGGGTCCCCTTTCCAGCTCTGCAATTTTAAGATTATAGACCTACTGAAAAAGCACCACACAGGCAAGGGTTAGCTACTTATTCTGAGAAAACATCATTCCCTCAAAGTGACTAGCAACGAGTCAAGAGAAAGACATCCCGAACAGTGATGTGGCAAGAGGATCCTGGACAGTAAGAAAACAGCATCATATGAGGAGAAATAACTAGGCTGTGAAGAACATCAAAAGAACACAGCTTCTGGAAATCAGTCAGAAACTCAAATAAGTGCAAACAGTTCAGCAAAAAAGGATCTGGACGCAAAGCAATGCAGAAAAATCAAAGGAGACTGCAGGATATAAATTTAAAAAAAAAACTATGAGCACTGAAAGAGTGCACTGTTAACCAGGTAACAGAAGAGAACAAGGAACAGCACAGACGAGCAACTTCTGGCAGAAAAGAAGAAAGTGTAAACATGGCTATAGCATATATATAACAAGAATAAAAAGGTAGTTTACTTATGAAGAGATGGATTGTTGAGACTAGCGCAGGGATGGTGACAGAGGGCAAAGAGGAGAGGGCCTTAACTATGGATATGGAGACCAGGAGAGGAGGCTCTTAAAAAGCCAGGAAACCTAAACAGCAAAAGTGGAAAGGAGGAACATTCAGTGAAAGGGTAAAACAGAGCAGGGCTGAAACAAGTGGGTAGCAATATGAACCATAGAACAACTGAGTTGGAAGGACCAACTGTAAAGCCATTGAGTCCAACCCCCCTGCTCAAGGCAGGGATCCCAAATCAAAGCAGGTCTGACAGACCATTGTCCAATTTTCTCTTGAAGGCCTCCTGCGTTGGAGCGCTTGGGATGATCACAAACAGATCCTGCGCCTCCTCTGTAGGACTAACTCTCAAGTATTTGAGAAGTGCTTGCCCCTCCTCTGTAGGACTACCTCTCAAGCATTTGAGAAGTGCAATCCTATCCCCCCTCATTGTTCCTTTCTCAAGCAGGTCCAGCTTCTTCAGTCTTTCCTCCTAGGGCTTGGCTTCCAGTTGACTGATCTTCACTTCTTCAGTCTTTCCTCCTAGGGCTTGGCCTCCAGTCGACTGATCCTCGTTGTTGCCCTCCTCTGAACTTGCTCCACTTTGTTGCCATCCTTCTTAAAGCCACAAGAAGGTGGCTTTAAGACAGCAGCAGTAAGTATCAAAACAGAGATCACAAGTTGAACATGCAGATGAAGAGGGTTAAGCACTGGACTTTGGAGCACATAAAGCAACTCTGAACAAACTGGGAAAGAAAAAGCAATCAAGCCAACGAGACAGGAGCAATGGACACACTTGCCGTTTTCTAACACACTGAGGCAAGCAGCCACATATAAAGTTACAGTACATGGCAAGGAGGTTGGCATTCCAAGACAAGGGGAAGATGGTGGAGCATGCATTGTGAAGCTACTCTGGAATTTGCTAAATGAGAAACTGAATGGAGGTTCCTGAAAGGGGCTCTTTCCAAATAGGGCATAAGGGTGTAACATACAAGGAACAGATTTAATTAGAAACCAAGGAAAGGGGGGCAAGGCAGAAGAGATGAAAAATAAGGTAGGAAGCCTTATGAGGAAATGGACCGGGTATTGAAATGTCTTTCATGATTGAACCAAAGAAGAAATACAAAAATCTTGGCAGTTCTTGAGCCACAAGGAAAAAGGGGCAATGCGAACAAAAACAGTGATTGGGAAGGTGAAAACCAAGATAAATTGAAGGGAGGAGACGGGAGTGACATCTCAGAGGGTAACTCATAACTAGTCAGTTGTTCCAGCTGAATGACAGAAGATTCAAGATGGACAAAAAGAAGGGTTTCCTCACATAGAGCACAGCTAACTTACATAATCACTGTCATCAACATAAGGACCACCAATTCAGTGTAAGATAGGGATCAGGTATTGTCTACAATAGCTAAACGGGACCTCTGTATTCAGTGGCAAAACACAACTGGGTATCATACACTAGGAAGGGTCTACCAGCTTTATACCTGGCTTATTGATTCCTCACAGACATTCATTTAGGCTGTGTAGGAAATGGGATGCTAAGATAGGTGGACTTTTGGCCTGATGCAACTTTAGGGCTGTTTTTATGAGAGTGAATTAGACGTGACAATTTATGGGGCAGTGAAATATTCAGGGAGAAGTGCCAGGTTGAACGATTGTTGACAGAAAGGAGACATTGACACCTAGTTCTCATTTTTTTGGCCCTCCAGAAATTCTGGACTTCATCTCCCGGATGTCGATGCCAGAATGGCCAATGCTGAAATCCAAACCATTTAAATAGAGGCTTCAGAACAACTGGTCTAGATTGTGGGTCCTAGAAAGAAGAGGTGCACATCCGGAACAGACATACTGTATATTTGGAAAGAGGCAACCTCAGGAGCACCCTGAGGCAGCATATTTTCAGGAGGGGCACACCTGCCAAGGAAACGAATGCTTCCAAAATAAGAGTAGCTGCCCAGGTGTTGGAAAGAAAGGTGGCACAGAATGGATGCAGGGTAAGACACAAGATAGGAAAAGGTTGTAAAATAATCTAATCAACAGTAAGAGGAGAGTGAATTGAGCACTCTTTGGTAAGCACAATCCTTCTGTCCAACACACTTCACATCCTAAGAGGCAAAACCCATAGAATTGGGGTGGTTGCTGTGCTGAAAACCATTTTTTTAAAGCAAAGGTCTACTAGATTTCCCTTGTGGGAATTTGGGTTCAGCTCTAACTACTGTGAGAAATGATGGACTCATGAACTCAGGAGTAATAGTTTTGGGAGGAAGTTAACCATAAATCCCCAAATTCTGGGACTTCACTTTGTGAATTCTCCAATGCACAGCTCTTTTAATCCTGAGAGTTCTAATAAGAATAACAACAATTATTATGATGATAAAATATGTTAGGCAAAAAAAACCCAGAACCAAAATTTAAAAAGCCAAAAACATTGTGGCACCTAAAAGACCGATATATTTTAATGCAAGCTTCAGGAGAGTGAATTGAGCACTCTTTGGTAAGACCGATATATTTTAATGCAAGCTTTTGTGGATCAAATCCACTTCCTCAAACAGGATAAAAGAGCATCTTCTAGCTCTACACCTGGTGAATGGGTTCACTCAGGAAATAAAATAAAAATACCAGACCAAACCTGGAATTGTTATGTGTAGAACAATGTTTCCCAGCCTGGGAATCAGGGCTTCCAAGGGTTTGTGAGTCTCCTTATATGCGTTGTAGCCCTTGAGAAATAATTTCTCTCTTGGCCTTTCAGAACCAGATACAGCATTAATGTTACTGTGTATTTAAGAGAAACAAGCCCTTTGGGGCACAAAGAATGCCTCTATTTTCTGAGAAGATATGACTTTTTCCCATTCAAAACACCTTTTTATGTGAACATGGTGGTGGTGGGTCATGACTGGAAAAAAGCTGGGATCTACTGGTGGAGGGGGTGGAACAGAAAAAATGCAGAAGAGGGGAGGTGGACAAGGGTCATGCAAGTAGATCTGAAAGAGGTGGGGGGGAGAAATAAAACAAATATCATGGAGGAGAGCAAAGGGAAGAGGGGTGGAAATCATTGGAATGGAGTGACATGTGGGAGTTGGAAAATACTAATAGCAACAGCAATAGTAGTAATTCAAAGAGGATGGGGGAAAGGATTTGCAACACCACCAACAATAATTCAAAGTAATAATAATAATAATTCAAAA